AGGTATGAACACATCCATCCTCACTGCTAGTCCTGGTTGCCCATCAAGTCCCCACGCACCCTCCTCACATGGCCCTCCGGAGCCCAGAGACCCGCCAACACCTGAGGTGGGTGGTGGGGCGCGGCCCAGGGGGAGGTGTGCCTGGGTCCCAAACCCCAAGGAGCTGGGCTCCAATCCTCAGGGATGGGGTGTGGGGTTGTATGGTGTCGGGGGTGGGGGTGTGGTGGAGGGCGGCCGAGTTGGGTCTGCTCCCTGACCTCAACAGTGAACGCCTGACCTCGCACAGCGTCACGAGGCCCCTGCGTCTGCTTTGAGACCCCTGCTGTCATCCCAGGACGGTGACAGAACAGGACGGACGAGGATGCCTCCCTGAGGACAGAACGGAGCCCTGGACAGACCCCAGGTGCCCCGGCCTCCACACTTAGAGCTGCCGGCAACCTGTCCCCAGAGCCACGGCCAACGTGACGCTCTCCCACCGGGACCCCCACCAGCACCTCACTCTGCACAGGCCCGCCCACAGGGCCCAAAACACCTGCAGCTGTGGGCAGACTGACCTCAGGACCCAGCCTCCTGGTTTGGGACCAGAGTTTCTAACTGATTAGGTCTGTGATAGCGAGAGGTAGCTAATCCGGAAGCCAGTAGGCTGGTGTGTCCAGAGTTCACCTCCAAGGTCAGTTTCCATCTGCTAAGAAGCAGGCTCACTGAACTGAGGTTGGAAAACAAGGAGACACACTTATACCGCCTGCCCCACCCGCACACAGCAAGTGCTCAATAATGGCCACGTGTCCCAGAGGAGCTGATTCTGCACCCAGGGCCCTTCTAAAAACACGTCCCGAAGGACTTGGCACGGCTCCTCCATCACAAAGGCTGGCGTCTGACCTGGAGACACAGTGACCGCTGTGTCACCACTGCCTGCTGTCCTGGGAGCAGCTTGGCTTTCATAACCTCCAGGTCCCTTCTCTGGAGCCCCTGTGACACCAAGCCACAGCCTCCCACCCTCAGGACACAGTCATGTCCTAGCCCTAACCCTCCACAGGACGGCCAAGGTGTACACCCCACAGAGGGCTGCACCTGACTGGCCACTGTCCAGGTCAACACTCCTGCGAGGCAGGCTGGTGCTCACCGGGAGTCCGCTGTCTGGATTCTCAAGCATGTTTATGCAAGCGTGCTTATATACTTACATACAGATACAACTCTAATTAAATAGTATGTAAACCAAAGGAATATAAGTGCAGAAAAAGTAACTTCTTGGAAAACCAAGGTGATGACTTAGGAAAGACTTACCAAAGACAGATGGCTTTAAAACTGTCACTTGGCAGGAACAAAAACAGAACACATTCAGGGGGAATTATTTCAAATCTTGGAGGTGCTCCACTCAGATTATTTTGAGTCTCTTAGTCCTCAGTCCATTTGAAAGAAACAAAGGACACCACAAACTGTGACTGTGGCTTAAACTAGAAAGGCAAGTTAGAACCCAGAGAACACTCTGATTCTGCATCCAAAATGTGGTGAATTATTGTATGTGTTTATAAGATAAAATAGCAAATAGACATCATTGGTGTGGTTCATTTCACTGCTCCCATTACTGGGTCACTCCCATTACCCGGACCCCATCCGGAGATACTGCTGGCCAAGAGATACACAGGTTTCCAGCTTAAACAGCCCCAGGTACCTGTGGGCAAACTAATCAGACTCTAGCACTATGTTTTCCATCAGCAAGAGCCTTAGCCAAACCCTCCATAGGCCTTTAACTGTGATAATGTCCTTCCTTTAACCACCACCAAGTTCTGGCCAAAACCTGCCTGGCGCCTCCAGGAACCTCCTGAGAGTAGAATGGCTCCAGGCCCTAATGTCAGCTCCATCGGGGACACGCCTACCTGGTCACCCAGGATGGTGCCTGCACAGTGCAGGTGTATGCCAAATACAAGCAAGGGATTTTCCCGAAAACTCACTCACAAAAAGACTGCAGTTCCTGCTATCTGTGCCCTACTCATTCACATTAAAAAGTACTCTCTGAATTACTCAACTGGGAACCACAAAACCCTCTCAGAAAGACCAGTAGCCCTAAAAACCTCCATCAGTGTAGTTAGGGTGTTTGAGGGGTCACCTTGCAAAACTGTAAAACAGAAAAAAAAAAAAAAAGCTTAGGCTGAAAAACTCAGCAATTGCAGTGGCAGCACATCCCATGGGCTAAGGCAACTCTGATAGCCACACAGGATGGTGGCATCTGCCAGCCTTGGGCGGTGGGCACCAAAACCACAGTGTAAGAGCTCCAGGGCAGCAGATTTAACTCATTTCTAACACCTTGTCCCAGGCAACACAGGTGTACGCAGAGCCCCACCCACCAAGCTGGAGGGTCTGAGCATCTCCAGTGAAAGATGCAAGTGAGGGTGTGGAAAGTGCTCCCAGAACCGAGTGGAGTTAAGTCCATTCCAGCATCTACCTGTCACTAAATTAACAGACATCTAAGCAGATACCTGCTAATCTACCCACCTAATAAAACATCCACACTTCCCCACTGACCCAAAGGAAGGTTCCCAGCTTCTCGCTGGGAAATGGGACTGTCTTTTATTTAGTCACCTACTACTAAGGCATACATAGTACCCACTGATGACAAGTGCCCATCTATGAAACAGCACTTGGCAACACCCGGATCCAGATTTATTCCAGTGGACAGTCAAGTACCTACCTGGAAGTAAGGCTCAGCTTAAGGTTTGCCTGCCACACTCACAGGGCTGCTAACAGTCCTCTATGCAGGACATCTGGTTGCCCAAGAAGACACCCGGCAATTATTGAAAACCAGTGGCTAAAATGCTAGATGATACTACAGTCCACATGGACGCTACTCTTTCTTTCCTCTCTGAAAATGATCAAATGTAATATCAGCTTTAATTCGGACTCTTCCTAAGACACAAGCTTAGTCTTGGTGAGGGGGGCCTGAAAGAAAGGACTGAACTCACACTTAGGTAAAACAGGAAAATTAAAAAAGGAAATGTGTTCCAGAGTCTGCCGGGTTCAGACAGACCTGGACAGAATCTGTTTTCTGCAGGTGTCCAGAAAGAAAGTCAGTTAATCATCCCCAACTCCAGGAGACAAAAAATTAATTCTCTGGAACTAAGTGTTGTCACTAAAAATTTTAAGTTCAGCCCCTTCACAAATGTCTTTAAGTGCTGCAAATGCCATGGATTCCAGGAGCTGCCTCAAGGCCTCCCACCCTCCTGATCAGATTCCATTCACAAAACATCCTCAATAGAAGCATCATTCAAAAATCATTTAATTCTCTGAGCCAGAGGAGGTAACCCACTTGTTTCGTAAAAAAAAAAGGGGGGGGGGGCCTTCAGTTATAATACCTTAGACAATAACAGCAAGGCAGGAAAGAAAATTTTGAAAATCTGTAACAAGATCACTTATACTGGATTCAATCACAATTAAAAACCAAATTAATTAACACAATCGGGCTTCCCTGGTGGCTCAGCAGTAAAGAATCTGCCTGCAATGCAGGAGACACAGGAGATGCCAGTTCCATCCCTGGGTCCGGAAAATCCCCTTGAGAAGGGTATGGCAACCCACTCCAGTATTCTTGCCTGGAGAATCCCATGGACAGAGGAGCCTGGTGGGCTACAGTCCATGGGGTTGCAAAGAGTCAGACAGGACTGAAGCAACTGAGCATGCATGCAATTAATATCATCAATTCCCCTTCAGCAGTGATCCCATTTATAAATATTCCTTGACTATTTTTGACTTGAGAATGGTCGTTCCCCCTGATTCATAGGAAAAACCCAGTTTGGCAAAGTCTGACTTTTAACTCCAAAGCTTAACTACCCAAGGGCTTAAGTTCCTAACCTCAGAGGCACTGCAGCGCTGAGCAATTCGGTGGAGACCTTCCCTCACTGCAGTACTTCAGATATAAGAAGGATTCATTAAATGGCTTCTGCACCACCAGACCTTTAAAAGGTCAAAAGCAGAGGGGTATGACTGTGCTTTCTAAAGTGAATATTTGCAACAGATCAACAATCTTTTTAAGCTTTTCCACATTTAAACAAAACACGAAACACAAGTACTTCCTCATCTCTCACTTAAACCAGCATCCCACGGGCTGGCTTCCCCCAGCCACAGAGCCCAAGGTGGCCCAAGTGTGAAATGACACACTCTGAGTAGCTCTTGAAACAAAACCACCGGAACCCTCCAGATACGGTCTCTGAAACAGAAGCAGTCCACGCTGCACAACAGAGCTACGCCAAAGGCAAAAGGAGAAAAACCCTCAAATAACAACCCAGTGGGAACACAGCAGGCCTGAGATCCCAGGACAGGACCAGGGCTGCCAGACAGGCCTGGTCCACCAAGGGCTGAAGCAGACATTCCTGGGCTCCAGGTTGACTTCTTCCCTCCTGCTAAACGGGTTTGCAGTGTGTGTTCTCATAACCCAGGCGCACTGGCCTCTGCCAGACTCTCCCTTCCCAGATACCAGGCAGGAGGTCCCCCCTTCCCCTTCCCCCTCCCAGCAGCCAGGACCTGGGAAATCAGCAGGCACTAACTTCAGTCCAGGTGGGCAAGGGTGTACAGACGGTTAGCCTGGGGTCCAGGAGAAGACTATGTCCAGAGAGACCGAGGGCCCAGCAAAGTTACAGGTGGAGAAACAGGTCCAGTGCAGCGTGGGACTGGATGGGGACGGGGACAGGGAGTCCTGGCCACATCAAGTGGGGGGGGCGGCTGACACGCACACACAGGCCACATAATAAGTGCAGGTGGCAGAGGGATTCCAGAGAGGAAAATGGACGTCAGCTCACAAGGAGAAGTTGGAAGTGGGTGGGATGGGAGCACAGTGATGCCCCAGAGTTGGCAAGTGGGACTCGGAGGATTACACCCACGGAGTCGATGGAGGGAAGCCAATCGAGAAAGAAGCACAAGGTGAAGGCCATCGTGGAACAGCTCTGGTCCCCTGCACCTCCGCACTGCCCCCGCCCCCAACACACTCACAACTCGGAGAAGCGCACACCCACCTTTGCTGGGGGCGTGCTCCTGCTGGTCGCCAGCTCGCGCAGGCTGGAGGTGGCGCCGGTCGCCGCGGGGAGGAGGACTGGGGAGCCAGGAGAGCTACCCCCGCCACCCGCGAGCACCGAGGCCGCCCCCGGAGCGGGGCTGGGGCCCGAGCCAGGACGCGCGGGCGGACTGCTGCCGGGGCTGGCTCCGGCGCGGGGCCGCTGGCGGATGCCGTCCAGCAGGCGCACCAGCAGGATGTTGGCGGGCAGCTCGTCCACGCCGCAGCCCACCAGGATGCGGCACTCGGGGCAGCGCAGCTCGCGACGCGAGCTCACGATGCTCTCCAGGCAGCGGCGGCAGAAGGTGTGTTGGCAGGGCAGCACCTTGGCCGTCGTGTCCAAGCGTTCCAGGCACACGGAGCACTCCAGCAGGTCCAGCAGCGACGACTCGTCCATGTCCCCGCCCAGCCTGTCGCCGTCGTCTTCTCTCTGCGCCGCGGCGGCCGCACGGGATGCGCACAGCCTGGGCGCTCCGAGCAGCATGGGGGCGGCGCCGGCGGCGACCGCGCGCACCTTTAGGTCCCGGGGCCGTTGCGGGCGCTGCCGCGGGCAGTGGGCGCCAGGGTCGCGCCTGGACGGCCGCTGGGGGACCGGGCTACACGGCGACTTCCTTCCCTGAGGCTGGCAGCGCCAAGGGGTACCAATCGGCCTGAGCGGCAGGGACGGGAGCTCCGAGTCCCGCAAGACCCCTCCGGACCGCCAAGCCCACCCAGTGCTTCGGAGCTCAGCGCCCGCAGATGCAGGCTACACCTGTCCCTCTTCTGCGAGTCCGGCCGGCACGGCTTCCAGCGGCGCCGCCGGGCGGGCAAGACACCCGGCGGCTCTGAGCTCTCAGCCGCCAGTCCGATCCCGGGAGAGGCGGGGGCGCGGCGTGCGCGCTCCCCCGCACTGCCTCGGGGCGCCCTGGGCCTGCCCGCGAGCAGCTGCCCAGCGGGTGCAGCCAGACCCCTCCTCGTCCTCGGCCGCGAGCACGTGCGCGAGGAGCGCGCGGAGGTCACGGTCACTGCGGGGGCGCCGGGAAGGGGCAGCCGCGCCCTGGATCTGCCCCGCCTGGCGCAGGCTGGACACCAGTCCTGCTCTTAAGGCACCTTCAGCGTCCCCAGGAACTCCGGGGCGCTCCCCAGCGCGGGCCCGGGCCTGTCCCCTCTGGCGACTGAGCCTCCTGCGTTCTCCGTGAGCCTCGGAGTGGGATGTTTCCGCCTGACGCTGTAGCGAAGGAAAGTTTGGGCGGCGCTATCCCGACCGCCTCCTTGGGCAGCGCTGGCCAGCAGCCTGGGGACGCAGCCAGCACCCGGGCATCCTCCTCGACGACGGCCGGTCCCCTGCCCGGCGGCGCGCGGAAGTGACAGCCCCACCGGGTGGGCGCGCGGGGCTCCGGGCGAGGCGGAGGGGGGAGGGCGCTGGGGTCCTCCCCGCGACGCGGGTCCGAGGCTTCCCCGCTGCCCGCCGGACCCCAGTCTGGCACGGGCCGCCCTGGGGACGCGCTCGATCCCTCCTCCGGAGGCGCAGACGAGGGGAGCCGCGGTCTCCTTCCCGGCGCCCGCCTTCGGGCGCGTCAGAGCGACGCAAGAGCGCACGGAGGCCCGGGGGCCGCGGGGCCGCGGCCGGTGGCGCAGATTCCCTGCCGAGCGCTGCCCCCTCGTGGCCGCTCTGGGCCCCGCCGGGGCCGGCACTGCCTGGTCCAGGGTTGGCCCGCGGACCCTGCACAGCCCAGGACTGGGCTACCTAAGAAAGGCGCGAGGGCCTGACTGCCGGTCGGGCTGTCTTGGGGTTTGTGAAGCTAAGTGTGGCTTTTTTGACTTTTCAGGGAGAAAATAGTATCTGTTGTGGCGTCAATGCCAAAAACGTTCATCTTTTTATTTGATCCTCTAAACGGCCCTATAAGATAACTATTTTAACCTCATTTTTGCTTGCAAGGAAAATGAAGCTTATGCTTATGAAATCATTGCATCTGGATTTTTTAAATCTTTGTGTCTCCAAAACCGAATGTATAGAAAAGATCTCAGTCCACTGTGATAGAAGCTCCCGACAAGCCATGTATTTTTACACTGGAATATCCCCAGTGCCTAGGGAAATACCTGGCACATAGTCGCTGTTCAATAAACATTTGTGGACTTAATGGAAAAATGGTCTCCAAGTCATTGCCTAGTGTTGATTTGAATGCATATCTTAGCATCTTAGTTCGGGGTGTCCAGATTCGTATGTATTCATGCATGCTAAGTCGCTTCAGTCGCCTCTGATGCTTTGTGACCTCATGAACTGTATGTAGCCCACCAGGCTCCTCTGTCCATGGGATTCTCCAGGCAAGAATACTGGTTACCATTCCCTTCTCCTGGAGATTCTCTCGACCCAAGGATCGGATCAGCATCTCTTATATATCCTACAGTGTGAAGTAGGTTCTTTACCACTAGCACCAACTGGACAGCCAATCCTGAGTCATACGCTCCGTCTATTATCCATGTACCTGAGCACCCATTCACCATGTAGGGCACAGCCCTGGCCCCAGAGAGTCAGCAAGAGAAAGTTCACAGCACATCCTCAGAACATGCTGTCAGCACGGAAATGTCGCCATGAATGGCAGCCTGGAGGGCTTCAAGGAGGAGGCGTTCAGTCTCATGAAGGAGGCGAAAGGACTCCCGGGCAGGGCATCTGCAAGATCAAAGCTACACTGTGAGGAGCAGAGAAGACACCTGATTGGCAGGAGAACAGGGAACAATGGGTGTGTGAGTACAGCACAGGCTGATGGTGGAGCAGGAAGAAGTCAGGCTTGGTGACCAGCCAGCTTGAGGATGCATGGGTCTTGGGAAGGCTTGGGTGGGCAGCCCTGAATGTGGTCTTTTGGGACAAGGAGGAATCTGACTCAGGAGAGAGAGCGTGATGACAGCAGACATGTACTTAATGCCACTGAACACCTTATATGGGTGAGCTGGTATATTTCATCACACTGTAAAAATTAAAAAAGCCTCAACAGGGTCTCTGAGGCTGAGGACTGTGGCCTGCGAGGAGGATGAGCGGAAGCAGTTGGAAATACAGGAACAGCCTCCACACACCCCACAAGGTGAGTTAACAGGAGGCCTCTACTTTGCAGGGGAGGAAACCTGGGCACAGAGAGGACAAGTGAGTCACCGAAGGTCACACAGCTGCTCAGTGGAAGAGTCAGAACCTGCATTCAAAGGGTGGAAATCCAGAGTCAGTTTCATATGTGCCCAGCTCCTCAAGCTCATGAACAAGGCAAGCACTGAGGTTTATCAGGTTGTAGGCAGCCAGGAGCCCCAGGCAGTGGGTGGCGAGGGAGAGCAGAGCCATGGGCACCCAGTGCCATGGGCAGCGGGCAGAAGCAACGCCTGGGAGCCCTGAGACAGGGCCATGGAGGGGCAGGGAGAGAGCAGAGGGGCCTGAGGAGGTTGGGCCCCTGCCAGTGAGCAGGGCTGGGGACGCAGATGTGAGCCGGGCTGACCCCAGGAAGCCTGGGAAGCCTGGTGTCCCCGCCTCCACAGCCAGATCACATTCCATGCAGGTTGCCTGGGCTCTCCATGGCTGTCCATTGCTAGTGAGGCAAGACCACCTGCCTTACTGCTTGATGGGGCCCCTAGAGACACAGTGCAGGTGTGGTGGGGGCTGTCAGGTCCCGAGGTCACTCTCCCCCCAACACCCGGCCCAAGCCCAGCACTGGGCTCTCTGCGCTGGGCAGAGGCAGAGGCTCCAAACGCCAGGTATGATCCTGGATGGCAGGAAAGTTTTCTTGGCCTTGGGAGAGACAACTCTGTATGGTGCCTGAGTGCCCGGAGGCATGGAGCTTTGCTGGCCAGGGAACTCTTTATTGGCTGACTACTCTGTTTGTATCCTTCTTCTCCTGCTATAGCTTCCTGGGCTCCCCTCCCAAACAAGCCACATGCCCCCAGACCTGCCCTGAGGACCTGCTTCTGGGGAAACTGAAACCAAAGCAGGTGCTGAATGCCAGGTGAAGGGTGGGCAGCCTGTAACCATCAGCCCCTTCCCTCCCATTTCCCTGGATACCTGCTCCTCCGTTAACCTTATCCTCTCTCCCATGCAGCACAGATGCTCTGTCTGCCTTTCCTGAATCCATGCTCCTGCATGACTGGATTGAAGTTTGCATCCTCCCCACAAGCAAGCAGGTGCTGTGCACACCAGAGGAAAGAGACACCTCTGCTGGCCAGAGAGGAATGAGGGAAGGGATGGGAGGCACCATCAAGACCCTCAGCAGAGCACAGGGGCCGAGATAAGAAGCCAGACAGCCGGTCTTATTTCAGGCACGAGTCTGAAGTGCTGGCAGCCCCGGAGGCACAGTGATGTGAACAGAACTCTGGAGGGAAATCGGAGCCTGGCGTGCAGGAATGGGAGAGATTTTCCTGGAGGTGATGGATGAGGCCGCAAGTGAGAAGAGGAAGCTGCGTTCCTTCCTTGGATCTGGAAGGGAAGAATCTTCCTGCCTTCTGCTCAGAGGATGAGGATGAGGCTGGGGAGCCTGTGGCAGGGGGTATGCTCAGTCACTGCGACACGGTCCATCTGCAGGTGGCAAAATGCTCACAGGTGTGAGGAGTGCTTCGCAAATGATGCAGAGGGGATGACAGCGCATCCGTCTTGGGTTCACAGGACATGTGCTGGTGTTTATGTCTGAGGCCGTGGCTCCACGTAGTTTCAATGTAAATATCATTAGTCCAAGGTCAGGATGCATCCTTGCTCTGCAGAAGCCCATGTTTGCTTCCTTACCTTGGGACACCTAGACACCTGGCTTGGCAGAATGTGAGCTGCTTAAAGCAGAGGAGCCACTCTGAGGGCCATGGTAGAGGGAGGCTGGGGCGTCTCTGCTGGGAAGAGACACCTGAGCTACAGGCAGGTGAGAGGGAGCAGTCACTGCTGGGGCGACTCTGACCCGACAGGAGTCGCTTCCCCCAAATCTCTGGGGACATCGAGCAAGAGGCTGAGTTGGTTTCCAGTCCTCTCAAGCTCTCACCACGATACTTTCAGACTGAAGGCTGATGGATGGAGAGGTGACCCTGCAAGAAGCAGCAAGGATGGTCTGAAGCTCAGGTCTTGGTGCTCATGGATAGCCGACCCAGTGAGAACGTGGCCGAGGCTAGAAGACTGCCCCTCCCTGCCCGGCCTAACATCTGGGGACCATGGTCCAAGTGAGGATGATTCCAGGAGGTGCCCCCGGGAACCCTGCTTCCTGAAGGTGGCTGTGGGCAGGGACTGGCCTCAGAACATCTCAGGGTCTTCCCCGCTGAGCCAGGTGTAAGAGAGGGTGACGCCAGAACCCAGGCAGGCTGGGTCCTGCTGGGTGACTGCCACGGAAAGGGAGCCTGCCCCTCGGGGTGGGGATTCGTGGGTGACACAGAGAGGGGTCCAAACCAGACTCTGGGCGTCCCTCAATTCGATCCGGGAGGGCCTTGAGTGAATTTGCTCAAACTGACAGAGCAGGCCATTCAGTTAAATAAACAAGTCAGAATTGCCTCCGCTCT